GTGTGTTGGAGTGTGTGTGTGTGTGCTTGTGTGTGTGTGTGTGTGTGTGTTGTTGTGTGTGGTTGTGTGTGGTTGTGTGTGGTTGTGTGTGGTTGTGTGTGGTTGTGTGTGTGTGTGTGTGCCCCACCTGTGTGCTATCCATCTCCCGGGAAGATAAGACATTTAGATATAAAGATAAAGTTCTATACTAACCCCGCCCCAATCTTTACTTTCCTTTTTTTCTTTCCAGGGCCAATCCGCCCCGAAGCGATATACGAAAGCGGAAGTTTTGTGCAACGGGGCAAAGGAAAACATCACTCAGGTTGTATCCCAAGCAGCGGCCGAATGGGAAGGATAAAGAGATCCAGGTCCGCGCTCTACCGCTCCCCAAAAAATGTAAGCCAGATAAGAGAGATGGCGGGTGTGTGTTAGCACCTTCTCGGTAACGACGATAACTTCAACTCTTACGCACTTGGCGCGTGATGCACCGAGGCCCATCGAGAGCGTGAAGAAGCAAAGACCTTGAGGGGGAGCAGAAAGGGGAGAGGAAGAGAAGAGGCGCAACGGGGAAAGAGGAGGGAGAACGAGAATGGGGACAGCCGACTCACCTTGGCACGATCAACAAGCGTACCCGGTTCTGCTACTCTCCATCACCGGCAGGCAATCGCGAATATTCCAGCGTGTGAGACAAACACGGGGAATACCGACCACTTGGGTCTCGGCACTACCGTAGCTGATATTAGTTCATAGTACTTCATACCAAACCCGCCGGTGGGTGCGTCCTATATACACCACGCCAAAGGTGGACTGCAGGAATTCCCCAGCAAATAGCCCGCGCGGGGCGGGGAGGGGAGGGGAGGGGAGGGGCGGGAATAAACCGCCGCACCACGGCCGCCCTCCCGTTTTTAATTTTCAAATTTCCTTTATCAAAGTTACGTTATTCGTGTGGGCGGGGTGGTGCCCGCGCAAACGGCGAAAAAGAGCGGGCTCAATCGAAAATCCTTGTTCGCTAGCATCATGGCTGCATGAGCGCTCACAGGTGTATATACTTAGAACACCGCATTCGGAAATCACTCGTGGGCCTGAATCCTTTTTTAGGGAAGTTAGTGAGCGCGGCGGGGTTTCACTTGCGCGCATATTTATTCCCGTCCGTCGATCTCCCCAATCTATGGCCAGAACACAAAAATGAAAAACGCGCGCTCTAATGGGACCTCGGCCCGAGCAACCCTCCCTCCTCGGGCGTTGGGCCCCGCCGCGCCACTCGCGAACCATGGAAAAGACGAGTCCATTTTCGCATAGATTCACAAAGGGGAGGGCCTGGCTCCAGTACTCTCCGGCGTCTCCGCATGCACAAAAGACAAAAAATATGGTGGCGTATACTTCCATTCCATCTTTGTAGTGGAGCCGGGTGTAGTGGAGCCAGGCCCAAAGATGGCAAGAGATATTTGGCCCACCGCGCCATTCGCGAACCGGGGCCAGGTCCCACTCGCGTGTGTTCTTCATAATGACCGCAGATTGTGGCGGGAATATACAGATCGATGGCCGGAAATGAAGAACACCGTCTAGTGGGACTTGGCCCCCGTGGAAAAWGACGACTCGGTTTTTTTTYCTTYTTTTTTYTTTKWTKRGTCKTTTTTTTTTTTTTTTYTTTTTTTTTTTTTTTGAACATGGCTTATGTCTTATAAATGCTGGAAATCGGGTCCAGCGTCCCTTACATCAATACTGGGAGCATTACCCAGCTTCGCTTAAAGGAAACATCATGAAATTGAGGATTTCTCCTCATACTGGAAACCGGGTCCAGTGTCCCATCAGCCAACAAAGTTTTCAAGCACTTTACTTGCATTGATAATTGAGTTTCTGGAAATAAATAATGTTGATGAGTCGTTTTTCATGTTCGTGAGCAGCGCGCAACGCCCAGGCTCAGGGCATACTCACACTACCGGTAGCACTGTTTTACTTGTTTCTGGACTTAATTGCGGCCGGATGCATACAGATCAGGCCGTAAACGCATTCGGATACATATTAGTGCTAGTGTGAGTGTGCCCTCAGAGCTGGACCTTTGGACCAAATGTGTCCCAGCGAAGGGAATGGTGCGCCCAGCGCGTGTGGGTGAGTGATATAGGGTCCCGCCGCACTACTCGCCAGATGCGCAAAATGAGAATGAAAATGGGCGTTGGGAATGTGAAAAAGACAAAACCTTTTGCGGTTGTATATTTCGCTGTGTTTCGGGAATATACATGCTCCATTTTGCACATTCCGGGAGCGGTGTGGCGAGGCCCAATGAATTTCTTTTTTTTTTTTTTTTGGAAAAAGCTGTGTTGTATGGATGTTGACGTTTCACATTCGGTGAGTGCTGCGACGAGGACCTATACCATTCACGGGGACGTACTGTAGGAAGAATCACAGAGTCCAACTTGAGTCTGACAACTCTGGAAAGACTCGAAAATTTCCGAGCCTACCGGTAGTGGAGCCAGACCCATAGACATTGACCTGCGGAGGAGATCACGATTCCGGATCCGGCGCTACAGGGGCCAAGTCCCGCTTACCCGATTTATTATCAATTGTGACCGCAGATTACAAAGATCCAACGGTCGGAAACGAAGAACCAGCATAAGTGGGACTTGGCAGGGGGTACCAACGGGCCTAGCTTGTTGGTACAGGCAGACCTGATTTCGAATCCCAAAACCTGAGATGGTCGAATACAAACGAATAATTTGCCATACACCCCCCAAGGATGAGATATACGCCAAAATGTCCCTAAAAGACATGGGTTTTTTTTTTTTTTTTTTCGCTTTTTTTTTTACAAAAAACACCAATTAACACAGTCAAGTGTAATGGTAAGACATGGCTAGAGTAAGGTGGGGAGCAATTTTCCACCAATTCTGAGAGTCTGACAGCTCTCCAAAGGCTTGCAATTTTTTACAAGCGTAGTTGAGCCAGACCCATAGACATGTACCTGCAGATGACATCCAGCCCTACGTCTACCAACGGACCTACCTTGTTGGTACAGGAAGGCCTGAGATCGAATCCCATAACCTGGGCTGGTCAAATAAAATGCAATAGGAATAATTTGCAATACACCCCCAAAGATGAGATATATGCTAAAATGCCCCTAAAAGACGTGGCTAGAGTGGAGTGCCCCTATCATTAAAAAGAAATTAGTGAAATACCACTCATGTCGGGTTGGACCCTTCAGCTTTTCAATATACCCCTAGAGGGTAGTTGTCAACTCTCAGGGTACAGTCCAACTTTTCAGAATACCCCAATAGTATACAACGCCCCCTCCTCCTTTTCGTCTTGCCCCTCTAGCCGTTGCACGGGCAAATAGGACCACCATCTCTCTCTCTCTCTCTCTCTCTCTCTCTCTCTCTCTCTCTCTCTCTCTCTCTCTCTCTCTCTCTCTCNTCTCTCTCTCTCTCTCTCTCTCTCTCTCTCTCTCTCTCTCTCTCTCTCTCTCTCTCACACACACACACACACACACACACACACACACACACACTGACACAGTGTGTGTGTGTGTGTATGTGTGTGTCTCCCTAGAGAGACAAGCTTGGGCACGTTTGGAATAAACAACATCGATGTGTCACAGTAGCGAGCAAAAGGCAAAAATAGAAGTCAAGATCAAGGAGGAAGAAGGTGACGAGAAGAAGGAAAGTTGACAACCCCAAGATGAAGTGGAGGCGGCATCGATTTCTAACCACTTTCAAATTCAGGAGCCGCATAGGCGCCTGCGGCCCTGGGCGTTCGACAAAGTTGCCCACTGATATTATAAATTTCAGCGACCAAACACTATTCTACCTAGGTAGCTGGTATAATTTTTTTTTTTAAATGATTAAAAAAAAAATGTTGTCAGAACTTATTTTTGTAGTTATATTTTTTAACTTTATTTGTTTTGGAAAAATATCATATAATTTACAAACCTTTACTTTAGATTTTTTAGAGCATTCATCTAAGAGTAAGATATCATTGAAGTTTGAACATTTTCCCCCCTACGCGGATTGTTTTGGCATACATGTGATAGCGAGGAAATGCAAAATGCGTTGAATAAACACAATACTATGTGACTATAGTTTATTTCATTACTATTTTTTCCCCCTCCATTTTTTTAATTTTTGTATTAAAGATCAAATACATAATCTACGAACCATTTTTTTATGTACTTCAAACTGTCAAGTTATCATGATTTATATGTGGTTTGCATTGCTGGAGTGTGTTGGTGCAAATTGTCGTTTTGTGAATGCTTCAACCTAATAAATACATCATGTTTAAATCAGTTCACCCAAAATTGTTGTGGTATGTTATACAAATTTGAACCTCATCTTTGTCTACCTTATAAGCGTGGTACTTACATGCGATTCACAAAATATTTTGGTTTGTTTTAATAGGTAATAACTTGCCTTGATGTACTGGTTAGTTGCAGGTTAAATGGTCGGTTGGTTACTGGTTGAATGACACGGTGTACAAAAGGATGGCTGAAGGAATCTTGTAAGGTCTGTGTTTTCCTCTATTAACTTGCCAAAATATGGTACAGGACCCAACCTACAAAGAGTGGCAGTCTGAGATTGGCAATATGAATGAATATTTTTTGTACATATTATTAAATATATTTATATTATGGATATGAATAACTTGAAATTAGTATTTGTTGAATTCATGTGTGTTACTTATCCTATCAATAAATGTCGAATGTTTCAATAGTGCCTAAACGAAGTACTTTTGTGCCTTCAGTATGTTGTGTGGGTGAAGGACGAAAGCTTTATTCCGAGTTTATAAACAATTGAATGTCTTCATTTGTTGGTTGGTTGTTGGTTGATTATCGGTTTGTCGTTGGTTAAATGGCATGATGTTTAAGGGGACGAATAAAGAGGTCATGTAAGGCTTTTGATTTTCCCTATTGCCCTCTCAGAATATAGCATAAGACCTAACCCACAAAGTATGTCAGTCAAAAAATGGTGATATGCACGAGTACCTTTTTTGTACATGTTTTTGAATTCTTTACGTTATCGGTTTTCAACCTTTTTTTTCTACTTAATTGTTTGCGTCTATGACCTAGATAGTGAGTTTCAAATGTTTTAACAATGGTTCACAAAAGTGTATGTGTATCTTTAGTACGTTTTATGGATGAAGGACGTGTTTTTTTATTATTATAAGAGGTTTAGACAATCATTTTTATAGATGAAGGATACGGAGATATAGCAAGGACTCGGAGGAGGAAGAAGGACAGGAAGGGGGAGGAGCACCAGAGGTACTTACCTGGCTATGTTGGCTGCTATCTTCATCACCTTGGTGGGCGCTGCAGCAGGAAGGCCCCAGCAGGGGTAGAGCTACACCAAGAAGCTTCGAGGCAGAGTCACGCATGGCGGCCTGAGCCTGAGCAGCCATAGCTGCTTTGGGTTGTCCTTTGGGCATGAGAGCAAGGCCATAGTAGCCTCGGCCTTGGACAAGGAAGAAGAAGGGTGGCCATGGCTATGGTGGACCTCATGTGATACCGCCGTAGAAGAGGGATTTGGACATTGATTCTGGTTCAGCCATTCAACATTGTACTAGCATTTCTTGTGTGAATAAGAGAGGAGGAGATAAGGAGGAAGAGAGAGTTGGGCGAGCAAGAAGAGCTTCATCATTTGTCTATGCTGGTGTACATCATCTTCTTCTTCTTTCTTACTTCTTCTTCTTCTTCTAACCCTCTCTCTCCTCTCAAGTTCATTCATTTCTTTCTGCAATTGGGCGGCATTGTACCATCTGATAAATGCGTATCTCGAAATTGGCCAGGATCATAACATGCTGGCAAACTTGCTGGGAGGAAATGATGCTGGCAAACTTGCAGCCTAACTCCGGCGGATTTGAGGGAGACAACACATTGCACAAACTGTCTGGAACCCAAAAGCATACTTGTTGTCATCATATCAATAACATGTTTGCAGTGCAACCAATACTTTTTCTAATATACGTCATGCTACCGTCTTCCCCTGAACATAATGCATATGCGTTGTATTCGAGTTTTCAAAAAATTTGAAAAGTCCGAATAGAACACGTGTGTTGTATTCGAATAAAAGCAACCTGTGCGTTATGTTGGCGGCGGGGGGAAGACGGCAGCTGTCAGCAGAGAATGTGATTGATTGAGTGGGAATGCCCTCACACCGGTTCAGCGCCGCAGATTCTCATGTACGCCTTCAAAAAATGCATAAAAGCAAGAAGAAAGCAAAGGAGAACGCAGAGACGAGTGTTCACGCAAGGGTGCTCTCAAAGGCCTGGAGAAGAAAGAAGTTCAAGATGTGACGAAAACATTAGTACACTATATGCACATCAACATTAGTACAGTATGTGAACATCATTTCGACTGTTGTCTGTCATTTCTGTGACAAGTGTGCAAGCTGCATCGCACATGGTGCATTTATACACTCTAAACTCACACATCTGTGTTCCTGATTTCCTGGTGTGTGGGTGCATTCAATGTGTGGGCCAAGTAGCTTCTTTCTTCTTCTTCTTCTTTTATTTATCATCATCATCATCATCATCCTTCTTCTTCTTCGTGAAATTCTTTTTTATTCTCTTAAACCACCAGTAGCACAGGCCCTACTCTGTCAAACCGAAAATTTCAGCTCCTGAACAAATCGAATGGGTTCCCATCAGGCTGGTGAATCGGAAGTGTGGCCCTCTACATATCATACAGCCGCAAGTTTTGGTGAAGAAAGAGTCCAGGTACAATGGCTAACCAGCCCAGGATAGGGATGAACGGCTGGAGAACTTCAAGACAAGAGAAGGCTGAGTTGTGACGGGATAGACTCAGGAATGTGGCCAGATAACTATGCTTGCCTGGCAAACACCGCAGTTTGCAAACACTCAAGAGCTCTCTTCCACTGTTTCTCTCTCCCCTCTGATATAGGCGGGCGATGACTGCTCAGGAAAAGAAGGATGGATGACTGTTGAGCTCTCTCCCGCCCTTTTCCTCTCCCCTCTCATAGCTAGCGGGCCATGCTGAGGAATGTGGCCAGATAATTATGCTTGCCTCGCAAACACCGCAGTTGGAAACACACTTGAGCTCTTTCCCGCCCTTTCCCTGTCCCCTCTGATACGCTGGCCATGACTGCTCAGGAAAAGAGGGATGACCGTCGAGTTCTCTCCCACCCTTTCCCTCTCCCCTCTTATTGATAGGCTATCACTGCTCAGGAGAAGAAGGATGAGTGTCTATCTGTCTTCTATGTTAGTAGCTTGTCTAAGCTGTCTGTGTCTCTTCCTGCCTATCTTGTTTCTATATTTAGTACCCGATGCTTGGCAATCTTTTGTTGAAATGATTTATGAATTCGTTCTAAACTTAGTCAATGAACAAATAAGTGGTGTACCAGCAGTTAAACAACGATTTTTTCCTTTCATCTTTGTCACTATTATTCACTGAATTCTAAAGTCTACATGCCATCTCCACCTGTGAATGTTAACTGTTTTAATGAACTTTTTATGTTCAGAACTGCCTGCCTCGCCCTGTTCATATTCATTTCACCGTCTACCTTCCACCAACAATTATGGTCTGCCTTTGTAGTGCCATGTACAACACTGAATGTACTGCTCTATTATTCCTCCCCTCCCCGCCCCTCACCTCCGCTCCGCTCTGCTCCCCTCCCCTTCCCCCTCTCCCCCCCCCACCACACACACAAAACAAAAAGAAAAGAAAAGAAAAAGAAAAAGAACCAACCCAGGAGTCCCAGGAGCACAAGGTCCGACTCCAACTTGAGTGAATTCCGTTTGCTTGTTTAGATTTTTCTGTGATGCAGAGGTGACAATAACGAAGTCCGAACTCCCACTCTCTCTTTTTATGAGAATGAAAATGTGCCGCGGTAAAAGACAAAAATACACATGGCAAAACTAGATGGGAAACTGAGCACAGGCAAATAGACAAGACAAAAGCAGCCGAGAAACCAAGGACAAGAGGCTACACGTGGTTGGGAATTAGAAATGGATGGAAAACCAAGTTATAATGACCAGCAAGCCAGGCCCAATTCCAGCATAAATGAATATACAGAAGCCAGAACTTGCTAGGCAATGTGCAGCCAAATGAGTACTACAGCAACGGGATGGCACCGCATTGCCGGCAGGTCACATCGCTCTATGATACAGTTGCCTCAGATATATTGTTCGTCGATTGATAAAACTAAATGGCTCTGCTGTACTAGAAAAAAAAAAAAACCTTTGTTGTCGGGTAGTAGGTAAGTCGGCAGCGCGTGCAGACTTGATGGGAGAGTCTGTGTGAAGTACAGTCACCGAGGATGGATGATGAAGGCACTCCAGCCAAGCGTGTCCTTTCTCGTGTATGAAAAAATAATAAAGAGAGTTATTGCTCTTTCTTGATTCTATGCAGTGGGTGGTGGTGCATGTCTGTTCTTAGCTGGTGGAGTGATTTGTCTGGTTATTTCCGTTAACGAACGAGACCCCTCATCTTGCCAAATAGCTACCGTACGGACCTTTCCTCGTGGCCAGCTTCTTAGAGGGACTGTCAGACGACTAGTCAACGGAAGAGAAATAATAAAAAAAAAAATAGAAAAACAAAGGTAGTTAACTCTCTGCCATACCCCTACCCTATATACACATATTCGCGCATCCACTCTTCAACGGAGAAATATACGCTGATGCGATGTTTGATCCTATCCTAAGATTCCTAACGCTAGATGTTGTAGTACACATTATCAACATAAAGATGCGCAGTGAGGTTGGAGTTCTGCAACATGGGCTCTCCTCTGGGGTTCACACAAAAGATAGACACACCGCCGTTATTGACATCAACACAACGGAACTTGTCGGGCCCGAGACCGAGGGCAGTACAGAGGAGAGAGCGCATAATGGACTTGTGAGTCACCACAAGGACCTTTTCGCCAGGCGTTGAGAGAAGTTCTTCCCATGCCTGCCTTGCTCTTTCCCAGAGATTTACAACAGGGTAGACACCATTCACATGGAATTCTGCTGGATCCTCCCTCCAAGCCTTGTATAAGTCTGGGTACTGTTCCAATGCGTCAGCGTTCCTCATCCCCTCCAGGAAGAGGAGATTGGCCTCCTTCAAGGAGTCGAGGAAAATCAGAGGCTCTTTCCTGCCTTCCCAGATGATTTCCGCACTGGTTCTGGCTCGGGATATTGGGCTCGCAAAGCACATGTCAAATGGAATGTAGCGCAGCGCCTCCCGGCAGCGAGACGCCTGCATCCTCCCTTTTTCTGACAGCACCGACTGGTCAGAGCTGCCTTGCACCCGGCTCTCTTCGTTCCAAGAACTCAATCCATGGCGTACAAGAACAATGGTCTTCGTAGAAGGAAGGGATCGCAGAACCAAGGGAGCGGTCGCCCCTTTGTGATCGAAAGCACCTCCTGTCACTGCAACGCGATCAAGTACAGACGTACCAACACCAGCAGCAGATGAAGCAGAAGCGGCAGCGGCAGCGGCAGCGGCAGCAGCAGCAGTGCTCGTGTTTGTGTTTGCGCTCAAACGACGATAAGAGTTGGTGGCACTCGATGCATGACCTATTTCACCTGTTTCATCACGTTTCAACTCAGGATCGCCTACTGCAGAACCATTGACCGAAGGCAACTCGTCAGCAGCACCGGAACTTGTCCTGCTTGTTGTTGCACGCAAGGCCCCTCTTGTTCCCCTCCTACGATTGCTGTTGGGCGATGAAGACAAACCAAGGCAGAGACAATGGTGATAAGATGGTGGCAATGCCGAGTCGCATGGCTTCCGGATCCACAGTCCATTTGAAGAGCATTCGTTTGGTCCATCTGCGATCAATGGTTGCCGAGTCTCCACTGCTCGGCCAAAGAACCCAGTACGACTGAACCTCCGACTAGTCCCCGCAGCGCTGGCAGAACCAACGGCACTGCCATTAGCAGAGGTGAATCGGACCCTGACGAGATTGTGACAGGCAATGCCAGCAGCCTGCTGATGCCAACTGCAGCTAGCAGCACCTCCTTGCAGCAATGCACGATTTGCCTGATCGCCCTCAGAAGATGGCACGTATTGCAAGCAACTGATCGACTGAGGAATGGCGGCTGACGCTGAAGCCCCCCGATGGAGCAGCGAGCATGATATGGACATTGTCCCTGCCATGACAAACCTAGATTGGAGGAGAAGGCGGGGCCTGGACCTGCAAAAGCCACACCATGCGCCCCCCAAAACAGATTGCAACATCGACTCCGTGCTGAGTCAATCCATACAACTCGATCCAAGCCCACAAAAGTGACATTCTCAGCGACAAAGACCACAAACAGTTGCCCGCCCGAGGTCGGTGAAGGGTTTGTTAAATCCCACACTCCCTTTTCAAGACCAGCCTACAGGCAAGTTTCCATTGATGGAAGAAGAGTCTGTGGCTGCCGGATCGGTCATCAGAAGGACAAACTGGAAACTGGGGGTGATAACCAGGACAGTCGCAGTCATTGGCCAATTCACAAGAAACTCCCTCCCTCACCCTCTCCTCCATTTTCCTCTGCTTTTGATCGAGAGCAGACGTTTATGCTCATGGATGCATCGTCACCGAAACAGAACAGCCGCGGCCTACAAATGTCTCTTCCCTCCCCTGTCTTCGACACAAGCACATGAAACAGCATTGCAGAAAATAGACTCCATGGGCATCCGTCTAGTGTGCTCTTTTCTACGCTTGCCACATGTATAAGATCTGCACCTGCCTCCTGAGCCAACAAGCATCTGTTTCCCATGGGGTCTTCAAGTTGTGATTCCACTATCTTTATCGTATGACTGTGCGCGATCTCTTGATTAACATTCACAAGCAACAGGCTTTTTCTTATTCAAGTGTGTCCACCAGATGGCTGTGCTATCAGGGACGCATCAGCTGCCGTTCAACTGTGACAACAATCCCCACAGACGCCCCAGCCTTTCCGCATTTTCTTTCTTTTTCCACAAGAGGACTCAGATTATTTCGCTCTCTCCTGAGTTTTCAGACTCGCAACTCTCCCACCTCCCCCCCCCCTCGGCTCCCCTCCTCCAAACACAGTACAAAGGAATGGGCACACACACACACACACACAATCACACACACACACACACACACACACACACACATGTTGCCTGTGATATCTGTTTGTCCCACGCCATTCGACACAGCCAATGTAACTGCAAGGATTGGATATCACGCTTCCACCACCATAGGCAACATCCGCTCCCCCATTCATTTTTTCTGTGCGTCTGGATCCTTGAGTGGCCGCTGCCTTTCATGCTACTCTCTCGTGGTCTGTCACACCTCTTCCTAACGGGGTCTTCTTTTTCTCTGTCCTTTTTTTCTCTCGCCCTTTCTCCCTTCTTTCTCCCCTCCTTCCCTTTAAATTTCCTTCTCTCCACCCCTGTTCCCCATGCAGAACTGCTAATGGATACAAATGGGCATCACTAGGAGAACAGAGGAGAAGTAAGGTGCAAGCGTGCAGGAAAGCAAACGAGTCAGCTCACTCATGCATCCTGCAGTCAAAGTACACAGACATGGCAGGCCTTCCACCACTCAAAAAGCTTGAAAAAATCAAAATATAACAGCACAGCAGACCAAATGGCTGTTCGACCAGAACATCATACCAGAGGGGGTCCCGGTTAACCACTTGTGAGCAGATGATCACTTAGGATCAGCATCTGGAGAATGGTCTATTTTAGTATTTTATGAATTTTTATCTTCTTTTTTTTTTCTTTTTCAAAAATTTTGACCATTCCTCGACATATGTGTGTCAGCTTTTCCCAGGGGCCATGTCAATCTTCTCTGTATCGTTCCAATTCTAATGGACGTCCCGAAGGACATTGGTCTATTCTATCAATTTCTTGGGCTTCCCAAGTTCTTTTTAGCACTTGAATTGACTGAGAGGGACATCCATTGAAATCGGACTCTGGAATGATACAGAGAATGAATTTTAGCATGGCCCCTGCGCAAGGATGACACACATAGATCAGGAAACGGTCCAACTTTTTTCCTGGTAACCTGGTTGAAAAAAAAAGGAGAAAAAACAAAGAAGGCCGAACTGACAGTCAATCCTTCCCTTGCAGAGCATTCAATGCGGCGGTTCAAATGGGTTTCGTCGGGGGAAGGAACCGGGCCTAATGGTCCCCAGAATGCAAATGGAGCCAGGAGCACAAGGACCTGTTAATTCGGGGGGAGGGGGGGGGGGGGGAGGAATCAAGAAAAAAAAAGACTATGAAATATGACATTGGGTGGAAAAGGGGTTGCTGCAGTGACTGTTCGAAACACAGATATACACCTAACCAAGCACGAGAAACCGCCGGGCAAGAACATAGAGAGGACAATTTTTATTTTTTTATTATTTTTTTTAATTTTACATACGTACCAGAAACACAATACAGCATCGTTGAAACAACTTCAATTTCATTGGGAAAAACAGAATGTTCAATGTAGCCATGGGTGAACCCACTGGGATGGTACATCCCATCCCTCACACATGCACAGGACTCGTATCCAGGCTGTGGGTGACTGGTACACAGTGCTACACACACACATGTAACCATTAGCAAACAGATCCCGACTTCAAATCCCAATTGGACACAAGTACAGTACTCTCTCATCTGGAGCTCCTATCTACTTCAAGTTGGAGAATGGTGAACTTATTATAATAACTGCCAAGGTTACTTTCGTCAAAGGCAGTCACTGTGTGTTATGCACAGGCTCGCTATCAAGCTGCCGCTGCTTACATCAGGTGCGTTATGCAACAGAACTGCACCTGTAGGGGAGCGGGGCGGGGGGTGCAAGCCACCATATGGAAGATGAGCTAATGGTTGACCAGGATGCGACGCATCCTCTTGCGGTAGGTAGTCTCCACACTTTTTTTTTTTTTTTTTTTTTTTTTTTTTTGGTCTCCACACTTAGCTAGCAGGCATAAGGGGGGGTGTAGAAGCGCAGAAAACAGAAAACGAGCTTCGAAGAAAATGGGCACACGTCAGACGACCTACCGCTCCGCAGTGGTGTCACTGTAGAGAGTATGCTTAGCTGTCACTGACACCTCCCCTTCTGATGCTGCTCCCCAGCTGAAGCTGCCTCTTCAGTCCTTGACCCATCAGGATGCCGCTCTTTGTGCAGAAATTTTGCTGTGGGGCTCTCCCCCACTGCACCAAGTACCTCACAGCAGTCAAAGTGGACAGCTGCTAAGCTGCAACTCTCGTCCGACAGACAGACGGTTCTTCCACTGCCATGCACTGAAACATGCAAACAAAGACAAGCGAAGGGGGGAGGGGGGGAGTCAGCGGCACAGAAGGAAGGGATTCTCCCGACCGCCAAAAAAAAAAAAAAAAAAAAACACCCAAGTCTTAGAGGGTAAAAGTAAAGCTGGCAGAGGAACAGAGCAAGTCAGAAGCCCCTCTGGAGTTCTGGAAATTGAAATCATAGTGGCCCTCTAGATGTACCATGACGACGAAATGGTTGCGTTTCAGTTTGAACACCATAGTTAACACGTGTGATGGTGGCTGTCCGGCCAGCGGCTTTCAAGTATCGATTACCTTCTACTAGTACTGCGAGAGTGCAGCCTTGAAACGAACAGGGCAATCAATGTGGAGGGTGAAGGAGTGGCCTTGGAGTCGAGCAGAGCTATACATGGAAACATCGTCAATGGAGGTTTCAATTGCCTTCTCGGTTGTTCATTTCACATGATTCAGCAGGTTTCAATCATGCCAAGGGGAAAAAGAAAAAGAAAAAAAATACAGACTCGTCATGGCAATTTATTGCCGGAAAAGCATACTGTGCTGGAAGAAGGAATAGGAAAGGGGCAAGGGGTTAGGGGTAAACGAAACCATCCAGCCATCCATCCATCCATTCTCTACTAAGGGACTTGAAATTTCCAGTGCCTTCATGGGAAAAGGCATCCAAAAGGGGACTGTAGGTGTAACTACAAGTGTGGAAACACGAAATGTTGAGCAGGAGGAGGAAGAGGCTGGGGAACAGGAGGCGGAGAAGAAGAAGAGCAAGAAGAAGAGACGGACAGAAGGTGTCATTACAAGTGTGGAAACGCGAAATGCGGTGAGGCGTAGAAGAGAACGGATGTCATTGAGGGCTTATCAGATCGAGATAGTAGAGGGGACTCCGAGGAAGTCAGACAGGAAATGAAGAAGCCCTGAGCGCAAGGGTTTCTGAATTCATGGTCCCTAAGCAAACCCCAGAAAGCGGCCCCGATGGGTACTAGAAAGTGAGGGAATTTGAATAATTTAAGCTAGTGCTACTGAACAAAACAAAACTGGACGATGGGACAGGGCCTCCATTTCCGGGAAAAAAAACTTCCCACTACCTTCAAGTTGGTAGGCTGCTAGTACAGTCACACTAGGCCCTCAAAATCACAAAATAGCAAAATGAGCAGCCAGATGGAGTCCTTCGTTGGGCCGGGGGGCCGTCACAGCGACTTTCAGAGGCCGAAAAATGTGACAAAGGCCATTGATGTAAATTATCGACGGCAGCCCGGCCCCGAAAGTTGTGGTGTTGGGGACGAGTTCATTTTCTGCGAGGCTGGGGCCGTGTACAAGCCCCTACAGCCGCACCCCCCACCCCCTTCTTTTCTATGTCAGATGTGACATCAATCTTTCGTCCTCCTATCCCTGCCATGCCTGTGGGTCTCTCGCTTGCCCCTGTGGCCCATAAATGACCCAAGAGGGGTCAATCCCCTCGAGGGCATCGAACTCCAACAGGAATCGATCCCTTTTCTCTTTTAATGTATCCCAAATTACATCAAGAAAGTTAACAAATACGTACATTATATTGCCTGGGGCACTGGGCCCATAACAAAAATTCACTTTTGGTGGCCGTACCATTCCGGCTTACCATCCCACCCTACTCACGAAGGAAAATTCAAAATTGATTTCGACAGATCCATAGGGCCAAAAAATAAATAAATAATAATAATAATAAATAAAGAGGAGCAGGATCTGATGCAGTGGCTGCCACAGAAAAAAAAAAAAAAAAGATGGCTGCGCCCATTAATTGCGATGAAACCACCGGGCCAGGATTGCTTGCGATAAAAAAATGGCACATAAGACAAGGGCTGGAAGGTATGCCCGCAGGCTAAGCATAGAAAGATTGTTATGGGCCTTATGGCCCGTATGGCAATGGCTGCAGTAGTAAAAGCAGTGGCAGTGGGGGAACTGTACATAACAAGTGAACCTTCTTAACTAATGCTCTTACTCGTTTCCCAATCGACATTCATCACACCACCAGAGGGAGAGAGACATAGCAGGTACTATGAGAAGGGAGGTACAAAGGAAACAAAAACAGGGGATAAGAGAAGAAGAAGAACAAGAACAAGAAGAACAAGAAGAAGAAGAAGAAGAAGAGGAGGAGGAGGAGGAGGAGGAGGAGGAGGAGGAGGAGGAGGCGGAGAAGAATAAAATAGAATAGAATAGAATAGCAAGAGCAATCGGCATTTGCCAATGCATTAAGACAAGCGTGAACCAAGTCCTCGTTACACTTGCACCGAAGAAGAAGAAGAAGTAAAGGAGGAGGAGGAGGGGGAGGGGGAGGAGGAGGAGGAGGAGGAGGAGGAGAATAGAATAGGATAGCAAGGGCAATCGGCATTTGCCAATGCATTACGACAAGCTTGAACAAAGTCCTCGTAATTTACACTTGCACCGACATTATTATGATAGTCATACAGCTCTGAACGTGCACATTCCCCGGCGAGCGCGTTTCGGCTGGCTGGCCGCGCAGAAGCACAAGGCTACAAGCCGCTGGCCCAGAAACCCGCCGTACCTTCCACCCTGAAGGACAGAGGGAAAGGACTGAAGGGAGAGAGTTCGCGGGTTGAGAAACCAAAACATTGTCTGATCCGACGTGTCGACTCTCTGCGTGTTGGGTTTAACTCTCGCTTCATATGCTTCTTTGTGTAATACATTTTGACGTGCGCATGCAAAGCAATAATTGGCCATTGCTTGTCTTTCATCTTCCACCGTTCATCTTTCATCTTTCATCTTTCATCTTCCACCTTTCATCTTTCATCTTTCATCTTTCATCTTTCACCTTTGCAGCTCGACTACGGTAGAACCCCAGAAACCCGCCGTAGAGATGAAAGGACTAAGCTAGAGTTAAACCAAACAGTGCCACACAGAGTCGACACGTCGAATAAGAAATTTGAAAGAGAAATTACTTGGCAAACGACACTCCAGCTGAGCAGCTCGACAATGATAATGAATGCTGTAGAGCTAAACCCAAGCCATCATGATAGCTAATGGTGAGCAACGGCGACCCGCCTTCACTAACGATATGCAGAGGACGGTGCATGACCCTAGTGCCCGTTTCTGCCGGCAGGCGTTCCGGCTTCATCAGGGGTCTTTCAGCACGGTAGTGCGTAGCGTTCGTAAAAATAAGGTGAGAATAAATACGCCCCCAATTTGGTGGGGGGGGGTTGGGGGGAGGGGAGGGCGGGAGGAAGGAGAAAGGGAGGGGAAGGCGGGAAGGAGAGGGAGATCGCTGACGGGGCCCCCGTGACTGGCAGTAGCGATTCGGCCGAGGCCCACATTCGCTCGAGTTGGCCGAATCGCTACGGCCAAACTTTCTTAAAGTTTGAAGTTGTCTTTACAATTCCCTTATTGCAGTTCACTCCACCAACCAACCAACTAATCAACCAACTAATCAACCTATCGACCAATCAACGAGCCAAAAGAATCAATCAATCTTCTCTCTCTCTCTCTCTCTCTCTCTCTGTGTGTGTGTGTGTGTGTGTGTGTGTGTGTGTGTGTGTGTGTGTGTGTGTGTGTGTGTGTGTGTGTGTGTGTGACGCGCGCGCGCACGCACACACACACACACACACACACACACACACACACGCACACACGCACACACGCACACACGTACTTCCTCCTTAAAACAAAGCAGCCGTTACGTTCATCCCGTGCCATCTCTCAAAATTGACGCTAGCTTTCAATCTGTGTTTCCTGGTTATTACGTAATTGTTCTTTTTTCTTTTCCAATTTAGACCATTTCTCGATTTATGTGTGTCCTCCTTGCGCAGGGACCATGCTAATCTTCTCTGTATCGTTCCAATTTCACCGGATATCCCTCTCTCTCTATCTGTAGAAACACGACTCCTCCATCAGTATCATCACATTCATTCAGACTCGAAAACAACAGAATGTCCGATTCTATCTAGCGAATCTGAAGATTCGGTCAGATAAAAGAAAGATTCCTCAATCAGATCAGATGCTTCAGTTTCGCTACATAAAATCCGATGGGCACGTCTCGATAAAAGAAAATCCGGATAAGATTCGCATAAACTTCGACGTAGATTAGATTCGAAAAAAAATAAAATTGTCGCTGGATCCGAAGAAGATTCGATCATAAACTTCCAGCGAAAGCACTTCCACAAGTCGGCTTTTTGTACCTTTCAACATGGTTGAAGAGGTTCTCCCCCCACCCACCTCCCCCAACCCCAACCCCGATTTGGACCATTTAGGGGAGAGCTGCACTGACGACCGACGACCGACAACGCAATGTGCATGTCATGTCACAGGTGCCATGCTAATTAATTCATTCATTCATGAATTACTAATTAAGCTTCTCTGTATCGCTCCAATTTTAGCGGCTGTGATCTCTCGAAGGACCATGCACGTTGTTTCGTTTTTTTTTTTTTTTAATAGCTGGACCATTCCTCGATCTACGCGTCCTCCTTGAAAGCGCAGGGGCCATGCTAATCTTCTTTCTCTCTATCGTTCCAATTTTTTAACTTTCGGTTTCTATTTGCGCACCCCTTGGATTGTTTTCTACTAAGGGCAGCCCCACACTCGAAATGTGCGGTGCCCGAATTTGAACGTCATTATGGCCAAGATGCATCCCGGAAATCCCGAGTGTGAATGCATGCCCCTTAAACAGGTGTCATTGTTTTTTACCCGCTGGCCCATCTTCCAGAAGGACCAGAAGCCAACAGGAGAAAAAAGAGCTGGAGGAGGAGGAACGGGGGGGGCGGAAAGGGGAGGAGGGGGGGGAAAGGGGAGGGGGGGGGACAACGGGGAGAAGAGGAGGAGGGAACGACGACTTCCGTCCGTCTTCCCCCGAAGAGAACAGAACAGAACGCACGGTCATTATCGCTGTGCTGTATGTGGACTGAAAGTTGACCCAAATGCAGCGACAATGGTCGTGCACTCTGTTCTACTAACTTCTTCCGCCGAATACAACGTACGGTCATTATAGCTGTATTTGAGGCATCTTTCAGTCTAGAGACAGCTAAAATGACCATGCGTTGTATTCGAGGGAAGAAGGTAGGGGGAAGATGATAGCCCGCCACGTGGAGGCTAACGAGGGCACACGAACAGGGAGCAGGTGCACAAGACAAGGTCCACCATTTTCAGATGACAGGAGGAGGACAAGAGGGGTGCCAAGGGGATCGCTATCTATGAACTAAACTACTGACCAAAAAAAAAAAAAAGTGAACACAATTAACAAAACCACAGTCACAGTGGCAGTCAGAGCATCAAACAGAAAACCCCAAGAAAAATCAAACATTTCTGAGAAAAAAACGATGGTGCGACTTTTTGATAAAACAAACACTGGACCGAAGGAGATCAACAAGGAGGAGGAGGGCACCAGCACGAGGGACGGAGGGAGAGCACGTATAGGGAAAAAAAAAAAAAAAAAGAAGTTGTACCGACAGTTCAAACAAAAAATAAAATAAAATAAATGGAAAGGAGGTATGGCTTACCATAACTTAACCCATAAGATGACAAACGTACCGTCTTCCCCCGAATGGAACGCACGGTCATTATCACGGCATTTGGACCGACAGTCGGCCCAAATACAGCTGTAATGACCGTGCGTTCTATTCGGGTGAAGACGGTAGCCGCTTGTGGGTGGAAGGGGGAGGGCAGGAGAGCACCTACACAGGAGCAGACGGACGAGGAGGAGGAGGAGGAGGAGCGGGAGGGGGAGGAGGAGGAGGAGGAGGGGACCACGCGCGTAAGGAGGAGCAGAGGAGGAGGAGGGGACCACGCACGTAAGGAGGAGCAGAGGAGGAAGAGGGGACCATGCACGTAAGGAGGAGCAGAGAAAAAAGGAATAGCTTAGCGCAAACCTTACATGTGAGATGACTAGCCAGCCACTTGAAGCCGCCAACGGAGGAGGAGAAGACGAAAAACATGAGGAGGAAGAGGAGGGGGAGGAGGAGGAGATGCAAGGAGGATCGGGTGCAGAAGAGAGAGGCGTTGACGACAACGACGAAGCAGCAGCGGTCAATGTAGCTGACTGACACGTCGAGCCCTGCTGGCACTTACGCTTGAGGCACGAATTGCTGGCCCAGCTGCCTGCGGTCCAAGATGACACATCCCTTGGGAACACCGTTACGCGACTGGGATTTTTTGTCCCTTTGTTTCGTTCAAATGAAACGGGTTACCCCCTAACATTACTCAAGAGATTCGAGCTCTCGACTAGTTTATCAACAGCTACAGTGTGTGCATGATTCCGCCACTGGGCTTCGGCCACCGTCTTCACCAGAATAGAACGCCCGGTATTATAGCGGCATCTGGCCCAACTTGCAGTCCAGATGCAGCGATAATGACCGGGCGTTCTATTCGGGTGAAGACGGGTAGAGAAATACTGCGAACGACGGTTCGCTGCAATCTCGGTGGAAATATCTCATCTCAATCAAATGCGCATTCTCTCTTCGATTTCTTTCAGTACCTTCCTGTCTCACGTGATCTTTTCGGAACGTCGCCGGCAACCTACCGGTAGCTGCGGTACCTCCAAGCGGTACCAGCGAGCAGGAGTCGTGTCAGATGCCCTGCCGCCTGAGTGCGAGGTGCCTTTCTTTGTTTCGTGGATGTTTTGCTGGCTTGTGATGGGGTGTGAACCGACAGTCTGTAGAGTTTTCCATCTGGTGTGGGTGAGTGATAGTCTACTTTGATTTTGGTTAAGGTAGATTATCATTTACAGTGTAATCAGT